CACACACACACACACACACACACACACACACACACACACACACACACAAACAAAAAAACCGGGGTAGGGGGAAGAAGACATAACAACTACAATTCCTTGAAGTTGATACAACAAGCAAACAGAAAGGACATTGTTGGGTGGGAGGGGGGAGAGGGAGGAGGGAGGGAGGTTTTGGTAAGGGGCAACAATAATCAACCACAATGTATATCGACAAAATAAAATTAAAAAAAAAAAAGATAGGTCTCCATCAGTGACAGTTTAGAATAGTAGAAAGGATCTTGGATCCAGAATACTTTGATTCTAGTTCTGCCTTGGTAATTTAGTAGCTGTGAGTTTTTTGGCAAATATTCGAGGCTCTTATTTTCTTCATCTATTAAGGAGAAATGATACATTATACATACCTCAAAGCGTTGTTCTGAGAATACACTGAGATAAGGTTTATTCGTATACTGTCCTATTTATCTCTTAAAATATTTATTGTCTGTCTTTTTTCACTATAATTCCATAATATCGAGGAACTAATCTATATTTTTCACCACTCTGTCTCCAGGGCATGGAACATTGCCTGGCAAACAGCAAATGCTCAAAAAATATTTGCAGAATGAATAAACTATGTGCATTGTAAAGCATTAAAAAATGTTAATTACTATTGGTAATATTCTTATTGTTATATTATTGGTAATAGTATTATTGTTAAGAAGTTTAAAGATATATAAAGTAGATTTTTTCACTAGATACTAACTTTTCATAAATACTAATACTATTACTCAGCAAGCAAATTCAGGAAGCCAACATTTAAGTTCAAACAATGATACTTTTTTTTTAAGGGATCATCCAATTTTTAATGTTTCCCTTGAAATCATTAATAGGTTTTTTTTTTTCCCCAAATGATTTCTGACATTAGCATCTAAATCACATGAAATGAAAATGGTGAGGCTTCATTTCTTGTTACTAATTTTTGTAATCTCCAAGAAGGTTTCTTGGTTTTGCTGATTATTCTGCAACTTCCAGGTTCTCTCCAGATGTGAAGAAAATTGCTTACTTGGTTGAGATGCCTGTACTTACTTGATGAAGTACTTGATTCCGTCTGCTGTGTAAGCTTCCTCCCACCCATAAGGTAAACCTAGAGTGAAAGGAAACCAAAAAAATATTTAATAAGATGATGAGAACATTATTTCCTGGACATAAACCTACCCCGTTTTTACAATTATTTGAGTATATTTTTATACAAAATAATTTTCTACAAGGAGGAATTAAAACAATTCAGATGAGCTTTCATATTCAGCATCTTCGGAATAATAAATAAGTCTTGAGCAGTTAACAATCTGCTTTAGTTGCAATAACTGGATTATGACTTGTCATTTACATGTGGTGAGCATTTTTGTCAGCAGGATTCAAGCAAAAATTTGTGTTGCAGTGGATGGTTTTTGCCTGGAGGCAGAAGGGTGGACAAGATGGCCTCTGCTCGTCTATTCTGGCTCAAAGTTTCTTTAATTGGCTCCCTTTACATTCTTTCACTCAGCTCCACAGGGAATCATACATGAGAGCCAGATCAGCAGGGGTTTGAAAGTAGCTTTTGGACAAGACAAAATTCCTTATTAAGTCTGAAAGTTTAGCAAAGTGATTTACAATGGATTGTGGTGTTTAATTTGTTAATTAAGAATTTTGTGCATTAAACATAAACGGCCAAGCAATTTGCTAAACTTATCTTCCATTTCTGTAGTGAGATGTGGACTGACATAAGCAAGCAATATATGGCTATATCTCTGTAAATGAGTACATTTTTGCCCTCATCATACCAAGAGAACTGCCCCATAGTGAGGCAGCCGCATCTTCTTATAATCCAATTTTGGGGGGTACACCTCTAGAACACAATGGTTTCCACCTCTCTTATATCTCTGTAAATGAGTACATTTTTGCCCTCATCATACCAAGAGAACTGCCCCATAGTGAGGCAGCCACATCTTCTTATAATCCAATTTTGGGGGGTACACCTCTAGAACACAATGGTTTCCACCTCTCTGCTCCATCCCTGAGTACTGCTAAGGATTTCAAGTGACCTTTTGGGTCAGTTCTTTGACACTGACCCAAAAGGCTTATCATGGCTACTTTCATGGGTATAAGATACATTAATCCACTAAAGAACAGACTCCATGGCTCAGGTAGCCTACTCCTTTGGAAAGTAGCTAAGCTTTAACAACAAATCACTAACTTTCGTTTCAGCAAGGCTCAGCACAGGGCAGAGCAGAAGTGCAGGAACTGTAACTATCTGAATGCAATAAAACCTTACTCTATCACCATTCACTTCTTAGAGGATATTCTTTGAGAAGTAGCTCTGAGGATGTAGTTTCTATAATTAAGAAAAACAAAACAAAACAAAAAGCTTTCCTTTATATTTATTCCCAGTCTTTTAACACAAGTTGTATAAAATAAGACCTTGGGCACAAATTCCATAACTATTTTCTTTGTATATTAACACAGGCCACCTTGGAGTTTCTATTCTCTCTTAATGAATAATTGTTCCTATTCACAGTAGAAAATAAGCACTTTTAAGAACTCAGAACAGCAAATGTCTGGCTTCATAAAAGCCCCTGAAAGTGACAATCTGTATACATATCCTCTAGTGTCCCCTGCCAGCACATGCTCAGCCAGATAAGACAGCATAAACTGCTGCTGCTGCACCAGTTCAAGTACATTTATTTTCTGTCTTTACACTTTCTGCAACTTTTTTTTTTTTTTTTACAGATCTCTTAACTCATTACTGATAAGCCCCTCACCTGCAGGGAAGAATCTGAGGACTGTACATAAGAATCTTGCTTTCATGAAAATGCTCAGAAATACCAGGAATTCTTATTAATAAGGCAAAGACAGCTAAAAGTTAAGTAGGAAATTATTCTAATGTGACTAAGGTTTTTTTGTCTGCTAAATAACTTATTTGTCTAACCAGCACAATTATATCTGTTCTTCTAATTTCTTAAGTTACAGATATTTCTTAATGAAAAAGAAAAAAAGAGTACACTTTAAAGATAGTATCTTTAAATACACGGGATCATTTGAAAATTGAGATTGACCTTAGAATGCCACATTTGCCGTTCTATCAGAATAGAATTCCTGCCTTGATGATTTCCTTATAACTATAGAACAAGAATTATAACTTCACAACAGACTTATAAAAGTACTAATTTATAAGCATTTAAGTCAAAATGGTTATTCAATGACAGTAGCAGTAAAGATATCCCTGTGTATTAAATAATATGTAAAGCTTATTTTAAGATAAATTCTCTGTTCTGAGAAAATAAGTGGTGTTTTTTAGAAGATTGAATAGTTTCTTATTTTTCATGCAGTTAATATAATCTGTAAAAAATAGACTTAGAGATTGAACTGATAGTAATTAATCTTTCAGTGACAGTTCAGTAATAGAAAACACAATACCTGTCCAATTATAAACTGAAAAACAAAAATAACCTACTTTATACAAAAAGAGCAGGTTTCATTTCCACAAGCATATATAATTATGGTGGACTAAGTTTCTGTTAGTAAAGGTTTTCATTTCTTCATAATAAGTGATTTGAATGTAATTATAACATTATCTAAATATTTTTCAATAATCATTATTGTTCTAAATATTAAAATATTTCTACATTCCCCATATCTTTATAGTTGCTCATATTTTTGCTTTTCTTTTTATATTCATTTTAAAACTGTTATGACAACTATAACTACCTGATGTTGTTTCTGATTGGTGTGTTTGTCTATAAACCCTCACGTAACATTCTTTTCATCAGAGATCATTTGCTTCCAATCATCAACTTCATGGTGATGAATCCAAAATCTGCATGAGCATCTTGCCAAAGTAAGAGTCTTGAACATATTCAACTTAGAATACTGCCTGTCACCTAAAACTCGACATATCCAAAACCAAACTCATCACATTTCCGTACAAAATAGTTTCCTTTCCAATTTCGCAATCTATTTATGTACCAAAGATCTTCTTTGTCATATATGGTCCATGTATTCATTCATTAAACATTTACTGATCATTTATTACATGTTCAGCATTTTGCTTGGTGCTTGATATACAATGATGAACAAATAGACATGGGCCTTGATTTTTATGGACCTTAACAATATAATTATAAACATATTACTAAAAATAGAAGTAAGAATTATGAAGAGAAAGTATGTAATACTATTAAAGAATAACTCATAGCACAAAGGCTAAACTCCTTAATACATGAAGAACTCCTACAAATCAATTAAAAAAAGGTCAATAACAAATAACAAAATAGGCAAAATATGTGAAACATTCAGGACACAGGAAACACAAATGCAATTAAACATGTGAAAATATGCTTACCTTTACTCTTAATGAGAGAAATAGAAATTAAACTATTATGAGATGCCAGGTCTATCTTTCAGATTAGCAAAGATTATCAAAAAGTAGTTTAATAAGACACGGTGTTGAGGGTATGAGGAGAGAGTCATTCTTATAGTGATGGAAGTGTAAAAGTATAAAATAGATTTGTGGGAAGAAACTTCTCAATATCTAACATTTTAAATGCTGTTAAAAGTAAGAGTAGACATTTACTGTGTGGTTATGTGCTAGACATTGTTCTAAGCACCATACGTGTACCAATTCACTCGATCCTCACAATGAGTCTATGAGAGGCACTGTTATTATCCCTATTTTAGAAACGAGGGAGCCGAGGCACAGAAAGGTTATATAAGTTGCCCAAGCTCTACCACCTGCTAGTGAACTGTCTCCATGAACAGTTTAATTCAATTCTTCCAGGAATTTATCCTATAGACAACCTTTATGTACATGATTGTTAACTGTAAAAACAAAAGATTGGGAATAATCTGAATAACCATCAATGGGGACTGATTAAATAAAGACAGATAATGGGATGTTGGCCAGCTGTGAAAAAGAATGAGGAAGTAATTCATGTACCCATTTGGATAGAGGCTGTAGGGTCAAGGAAGTATCTCTGGAGGAACTGGAGTTATCTAGGCTCAGGCATGGGGAATAACACTCTAGGTAAACAGCATCTGCAAAAGCTCTGGAATGGGAAGAACTTGGCACATTTGAGGAATTAAGAGAAGATCATTGTTACTGGAGCACAGTGAGGGAGTGAGGGGGAAAGTGATATAAGATGCAACTGGAGAGACAGGCAAATATGACTATGCAGGGCTTTGTAGGCCATGTTGAAATTGTTTGGAAGTTTCTTAAAAAGTGAAGCAGGAGGCTGGCCGGTTTCTCAGTTGGTTAGAACGTGGTGCTGATAACACCAAGGTTTGGGTTTGATCCTTGTATACTGGCCAGCCACCAAAAAAAAAAAAAAAAAAAAAAGAAGAAAGAGATCTGCTTCTGTTTAAGATGAAGAAAGCTGCAAGAGAATGCTGGTCCCACCATATGTGGGAAAAAGCTGCATAGCCTAAAAAAACTACTCTTGTAGGTGTGTGTGTGTGTTCCTCAGAGACTGAGT